GAGAGAGAGAGAGAGAGAGACGTGTTTTTTCTGCAAACATATACAAATACATGCAATTTCTACAGCTACTACTCCTCAGGTTGTTGTATTTTGTACAGAGACTCACCGTTCTGAGTTAGCAGGTCGGCTTGTGATGGGCTTATGTATGCACACGCGGCGAAATGACCTGTAGAGGAGGTAGACCAATCCCACGCTGAATGGAGTGAATATGTCAAATAAATTGCACACAAAGTTTCCACCTAAAATCGAATACCATTTTCATCACATAAACAAAAGATAAAGGCATGTCGGTAACATATATATACGTTTATCGATATCCGTTATCAAATGCATTAGCTTGGTAAAGTTGAATACACCCACTTAGTGGTGTGATCCTGCAGCAGCCAATAAGAGCATCTTGAAAATTAGTTGTTTGTAGTGTAAGCAGCAATCAATTCAAGCAAAAAACACGCCATTACAATATGATAAATAAATCTTGGATCTCGTTGGTTAGAGATACTACACTTTAGAATTTTAGGGTATATTATGATAGTAAGTGCATAAATCATAATATATACCTACAAATTTCTGTAATCATGTATTCACATTTGGCATAAAACAACTGTAAGTTTCGAAATATTTATTTTTGGCTGCTATCCTCTGCATCAAATGTGTATGGAGTATGTAGTGAGTGATGCCATCTAGAGTTGTGCCACCATTTCTGAGATATGCATTAACTTATGCACACATGGACACATAGACACATGGACAGTCATTTGTCTCATTCTACATGCTCAGCTGCTCTGTTCAGCCGAGTCAAAAATTTGTGATAATGTTTACCACATAAATAAAGTTTCAATACTTAAATAGTATGTTTCTTGAAGCTTACGTTTGTATGTGTTTATGCATACTAGAGAAATGCCAACAAATTATTACTGATGTCTCCTGGTATACACAATGCATTTTCAAATCATTACTACTAATACTTATTGCCCTTCCCTATGCCAACCATACCTATTCTTAAAACAGATAATGCACAGCAGAACTGGCAGAGATAGAGTTGCTTCGACAAAACCTCTTGTAGGTTTTCTTGACCTTCCACTGAAAAACCCTGAAAAATCAAAGNAACCTCATACAAGTAGTCATGAATCAATTCAGCTCCCTCTCTCATGCCTTCACAGACGATGTACCTGAAAGCATACACAAGCATAGTCAATCTCTCATTATGTTTATTTTGGCTAGATTAAGGTCGAAGTGATAACAATTTCTTCGGAAATTTTACAACTTTTCTAATACCAATGAATAAATGTTCATACCCCAAATTATCATTTCCGGAATCTACAATACAAGAGAGCATCTACTCATGACGGGTGGCACCCAACCGCTTCTCTTGGTGGTGACCAAAGATTCTAGAGTGCCGTAGGCCGTAGGCCGTGCCGTTCACTCTACGATCTTTGGTGGTGACGGATTGAACTGCTCTGGCTACTTCTGCTGATGACATTGCCAATGCTGGTCTTACAACTGCTACAGCCAGTGATCATAGAGGGTCGACCGATGCTGCTACTGGTATTCCTATTGTTACAGTGGTTATCACTGGTGTTACAAGTGAGTGGTGCACTAGGTATGTAGGCCCCTGTAAGGCTGCAGCAAATGTCGCAATTTAAAGAAGATGAGAAGAAAGCTTTATTCTACCGTTTAGGATAGCAGCCTTACGACAACCCATAGGGAACATGCCAGATAGCGGAAATGTGGATAACACTGAATATAAATACCTATCACTCCTACTGCATTAGCTTAGCTACGAACACAACATCGTGACATAAAATTGGTATAACATGAAATACAACAGTTCACGACCTAGACAGCTTGCAAAATACAGCAGAAATCATACTTATGTTAACATTTTTACTCGTCTGATAAGCATTCTGTGTGGCTGCTATTTTGGTGGAATGAAACTCTATGATTGGTTTAGGTTCAGCGTAGAGATTCGCACAATGTGACTGTTTCGGCAAAGTTATAAAATCACAATCTGGAAAATCCTCATACAAACTAATTTGCAAGAATTTTGGGGTGAACATTGATGATTCCTTATCAGGATAACATAATTATGTCCAGATTTAAACCTGGTTCTATAAACTGTCCAACAAATGTGAACAATAATCACTGTTAGCCATGATCGAGCTGCCCACATCATCTTACCCCTAAACATGTGAGTGAATAGGAGCGAGCGATAAAGAGAGAGACACACAGACAGAAAGAGAGAGAAAGAGAGGGAGAGAGAGAGAGAGACAGAGACACGCAGAGAGAGAGAGAGAGAGAGAGAGAGAGAGAGAGAGAGAGACGAGAGACAAGAGAGAGGAAGAGAGAGAGAGAGAGAGAGGA